GGGGGCTTATTATACAAGGGGGGGGGGCGCTAATACATGGACGATCTTTTGTGTTAGTAATAAACAAGTCAGACATAAACAAGTCAGTCATAAACAGGAAAATAAACATGTATTAATAATAGATTAACTATTGATTTGATTAACATAGTCAGCTATATCGTTCTCTGCTATATTAAAAGACAATGTCAATGTTGAATAACGTAGTGGGCTACTGGGCTTATATTCGGGGACTTATATTTGGGGGGCTTATATTCGGGAGGGCTTATATTTGGAATGAGGTAAGCATTAGTATACGTGGTGGGCTTATATTCAGGGGGGGGGCTTATAGTCGGAGGTTTACGGTATGCATCCTCAGAAACAACTTCAGCATATATTCCACAGGAAATGTTAGGCAGTGTTGGAATGTGATGGATATGCCATTGTGGATTTTGTATAAACTGAAAGGTTTTCACAAAGCTGTCCTCCAGGTTCAAAATATAGTCAAGGAAACACTTGCCTATACAGTATGGGATCGCTGCGGTGCTGGTAATGCCTCAAGTCTGGAAAAGCTTTAATGGCGTGCTGCTAAGATTGTGTCCAGAATACCTGAGAGTGATAAAGCAATGAACATGTTGAAGTGGCCTTCTCTGCAGAGCAGGCGAGACGACAACATTTTTAAAAATTATTTTACTCTTAACAGCTCGGTACATAGTAGAGTGACTAGGCAGAGTCATAAACTGCACTTGCCTCGAGTACGAACTGAACAGGCAAAGAAATCCTTTTATTACAACGGTTGTGTTGTATATAATAATAAGCAAAAATAGTTTTATTCTCTAGTATATATATATATATATATATATATATATATATATATATATATATATATATATATATATATATATATATATATATATATATATATATATAGTATATTGTTTTAATACCTAATTGTCATATAGCATGTAAAGATTGTATTTTTTTTTAAATAGTAGGGCTCCAGTTGATAGCAGTAGTTTTTACTACTGATTGGACTACCCTGTTTAAATAAAGGTGTCAATCAATCAATCAAATGCATGTGTAATCCTCCAGAAGCATTTTTGCTGGTATCCAAATTCTTCAACTCCAAAGTTTCTTTACATCAGGATCGACATAGTCAGTATGCCTCTGATAACTGCAGTACATCATGCATTGAAAGAAAGATGCAACATAGTTCCCTTATTTAAAAAAATGTATAAAGAAACTTTGGAGTTGAAGAATTTGGACACCAGCAGCAATGCTTCTGGAGGATTACACATGCAGTGTTTCCACACATGCAGTTTATACAAAATCCACAACAGTTGGTGGTGAGCTGCTGAACTCCTTAATTGCATATCCATCACATTCCAACACTGTCTAACATTTCCTGTGGAATATATACTGAAGTTGTTTCTGAGGATATATTATACAATCAAGTTTGGGAACAGGAACTTTGCATCTAAAAAAAGAAAGCAGAAAATACATCAAAGTAACCCACTTATAAACCACAACATTTATGTAAATATACTTTCGAGAAACTAGGTGGTAAAGGCCACGATTATTATTTACCATATATAAAAAACATCAGTTCAACATTAAACATATCAAGACCAAGATTTAGCACTGATATTTTAAAAAGGTTTTATAATTATTGCCATTGAACAGAACGGTGTATTTGTCAGGAGTCATTGTTTATACTGTTGCATATAGCACACGATTTTATCACAAAATTGTGTAAAAATAACTCCAAGAAAGAACATAATATAAACGTAAATAGTCCGGGAAAGTTATATCTAACGACATTTTTTTAGATATCCAACATATCATCCATTTACATGAACAGTCCCATTAGCACTTTATATGCGTATCTTGCGTCCACATTCAGCTCACTCTTACGAACGATTTCAATCACTTTAAATACAGTTCTTAATCTCATAAATACAAAAATACACTCCTCTTACCTTCCCCTTTAATGTACTATCCACAGAAAATACGATAAAAGACAAGATCACGAAAATTTTCCATTTTATTACTGAAAATACACTTTTCGCCAATACATTTACCTATTATACTTGCTGCAATCTACTTGCCAGCAACATGGCGGCCGTCAATTTCCGGTGCGAGGCGGCAGCGTCAAAAACATCAAAGGAGTGGGCCATCTATTCATTCTTTAATCTATGCCATGGCTGCCATATATTTTACTAATGAGTGAGCGATAATTTTGTGTGGACATTTTGTTGATTTTCTCATGCTATATTAAAAGATAGTCCAAACTTTTGTATTTTGGCTGATCTGTGTGTATTTTCAAACTACTGGTAAAGATTTCAATGGAATCTGATTGGGGGAAGCCCGTGAATATGCTGATTTTTTCGACACCTTTCGGCGAGCTGTTTACAGTGGATTCACGACAACGAAACGCCGAAAACAGGGCTTTTACTTCTCTGTTTGTTTAAACAAAACAACATTACAAAAGAATCATGTTTAAAAACAATACAACAAAGCCGTCGGGAAAGAAGAAAGACGTCCAGATGCGAGAATGTAACCTGATACCAATGTCAATCTCACCTTTTATAATTATATGACATTCTATTAGTAATTGGATATAAGAGATAAACTTCTAAAAGTAGGCGAATCCAGAGGGTATATAATATTGAGAGTTCCAGTTGTTCTCATTGACAGTACCACCCCCATAGCCAACTAAGAGCAAAACCCAAGCAGAAGGAACAGTATCTACAATGCTGTTCAATAATCTTAAAAACCTGCCTGAAGTATTTGATAAATTTTTGTGACTATCAATCAAATTCATCAAAATAGCACAAGAAACTCATCAAAACTTCACAAGTGGTATAAAAGAACAAATTATGTAAAACATATTCTCTCTAATAATGGAGTTGATGTATGGAACTCGCTAGAATAAAAAATAAAAACATAAACTCTCAATACATCTCAAAAACAAATTAAACAGCATTTTTTTATGAAAATTCCGTTTGCATATCATTCTACTTGCATATTATTGTTCCTCTATTACTCTGAATTTCTTTCTCTGATTCGACTGTAAAATAAAAAAATATAGGGGCCTAAAGCAAAAAGCCTGACAAAGTATCTGTAGTAGGTCTTTAGCCCAAATTAATATAAGGTAAAATATGTAAATAATTATTGTCTATGGAACTGTACATAAAGAAACTCTTTCATTGGTAATATTTCTGTCCTCAGGTTTTCTGAGGTCAAATTCTTTCCTCAATGTTTAATCGCAGCCAAGATTTTGGTCTAAATATTAAATTTTTACCTTGCTTGGATTTACTTCTTTTCATGTTCCTTTGTTCCATCCTTGGGGAACACTGGTACAGGCACACAGCCTGGGGAAATATATTACTTGTTATAAGCATAGTTGATTTTATACATAGACGACTACAAGTACATGATTACATGCCTCAACTGTTCCAGCTGTTCAAGGACACACATCCACACTTTTATGTGCGAGTCATCACAAATCCTTTGTGATCGACATACTGAGCTTTACAAAAAAATGTCATGGTCTTGTCAATGGACATTTGGCAACATGAATTATACCAACAAATCCACTCATCCAATATGAGTAAGCCCTCTCATCTTTGTATTTGCCAATATATTCAATATCTACTGCCTTTACTCGTAGAATGTAGGGGCCTAGCATTCCATCATCAAGATGTGGCCATGTTTGAATGTCATCTTTCCAATATTCATTGCACAGAGTGTTAGGATCGCTCTTAATATTACAATAACAGCCAAAGTAAAATGACTATTTGCAATATAATCTGCTATGAGAACATAAAATATAAACAAGTTTATCTCTTATATCT